TGAAAAATCACCGGTGAACGAAGTAACGAGACTGTTTCTACGTGTGGCCATGTTTGCCCGCATGCGTCACAGGGTTATCCTCGCCTTCTTTTTTTTCTCCTCGCGGGATGAGCCGCGGGAGATGAGAGATCGCCGTCGTGCACAGCGAATTCGAAAGCAGAACATGCAGCTATAGCAAAGCGCGCGGTTACTGTATCTCATCGTGAGCAGTATAGTATGAAACGGAGGGGCTCAGCGGTCACATCGGGAGTGGATTCTAATCCCTCGAAAGGATATCCCCTCGTATACCTTTTTTTCTTTTAAATTCGATGCAAATAGTTATGAAAAAATCTGAAAAAATTGACAATGTAGAGTATAATGATACCTACTAGTCTACCAAAATTCAAGTTCAAATTCGATCTACACATCGAAAAAAAAAGACAAATTTAGATATAAACAGTACGCTACTACTCATATGCTGAATTTATCTTTTTTATATCTCGGCGTGTGAGTTGAGTTTGGACTTAAGATTTTGTGGAGTTGTATATATGTGTTGTATGAATATTGTCAAATTTTTCCAAAATTTTTTATAACCGTTTAAATAGCTTTTAAATAAATGAGGGAACTCCCTTGAAGGATTAGAATAATTTCCCCGGTCACATCTGCAGTGGGGGCGAGAGAGATTGGAGAAGCCTTTGCTGCGTGCAGCGTGCGCAGGAAGCAGCGGTCCCAGTCGTCCGTCCCAAGCAGGTGACACCCAAAAACCAACGACTGCTGACCTCGCTACCGGAAAACGGATCTCGGCGACAGCAAAGTCCCCCGCGCCGTACCAAACCTTTGCCTGAAAAAGCACCGAGCTGATGCTGTGCTGCCGCTGGCCAGGGCTCCACCTCCCGCCCTCCTTTTTCTTCGGATGCCATCATCTACCCTGCGCCCGTACAACACAACACAACACCACCCTTCTTCTCCATCTTCTGCATGACTGCATGACCGATCGGCGAACCTGCAGCAGCCACAAGATCGGTTGGTTTGGTTCATCCATGCAGCAACAGTAGCAGCATGTAGCTGTCAATATATCTTGCTCCGTATCTCGTGTTGCTTCTCCAGGAGACTGGACGATTATCGCGGGTAGGTGAAGTAGTATCTAGCTAGTCTCGCGTTAAGAAGAACGAGCTGAATTCGGTGGCACTCGGCTGTCCGTCTATCAGGACGATCGAGCCGGTCACATGTTGAGGCCTAATAAAAGCGGTGCGAAGCACTGTTTACTGCCGGGCGGAGCGCGTAAACGCCCGGCGATCTCGCATTCACACACCAACGAGAGCCGTCGACGTCGAGCGGTTGCAGCGGAATTAAATTCGCCTGCCCGAATGATTGGTTGATCGGAGCCGCTGCCACTGCAGGCTAACGCGCACAATTCTGATGGGGCGTACTTGCGCGGGTGTTGGAACAATAGATCGCGTGGTGGTACTACTTGGTAAAGAGAACAGCTGTAGTTGGTGTCCTTTAGCATGGTCGTGTAGAGCAACAGTGCATCTGGCGGCGCCGGCGACAATGATACGGTGAGATTGCAGGTAAGGATGGCAATTATTACCGATTGAACATTTAAGGCTCCATTCTTTTCTACACTGCTGGAGCAAGGGTTTTTACCCACGGTTCGTAAAACCCTTACAGTTCCGATTATATAACCGGACTATGAATTCGGTAGTTCCGGTTTAAATAATCAAGACTAAAGATGTATCTTTCCGGTCAGTAACATCAACCGGGACTAAAAATGGCCCGAGGATAGTGCCAGGTCATTGGTCCCTATTCGTCTCTTTTTTTTCATTGTTATTTGAATATTGATTTCACACCAATCTCACCAAAATCATAAATTCCAAATCGAGTTGCTCCTACATAGGGGTGAAAACGGTACGGAAACTTTCCGGATTCCGGACCTATTTTCAAAAACGGAATCTGTCGGTCAGAATTTTTCAGAAACAGAAACGAATTCGAAAATATTTTCTCGGAAACGGAATCGAAAATGATAAGGGCAGTTTCCGTTGGAACTCGGAATCGGTCGGAAACTTTCCAGAAATTTTCTCGGAATTTTTGGAAAATTTCTCGGAATTTCTAGAAGTTTTGTGACTGAAATACCCTGGATTCTTTTTTTAAGCAATAAATAGTGAATACTATGGTGTTTGGCTGCTATTTTTTAAAAAAATATTTGTTATGGAAATCTAAAATTATATAAGAATATTTTTTTCCTGCATTGGGATTTATCAACAACATTACTCTCTTAAACATAGATAATGTATTCCTTAGGTTGTGTTTTGTGATGTACTATTGATACATAACAATTGGACTTATATGATTGTGTTTTATGATGAATTGTTGACCATTGAGACTTGAAAATTGGATTTATCATTTGGAGGGGTTTTTTATTCCGATAAATTTTCGTTACCGTATGCGCGCCGATTCGTTTTCGCTCCGTTTTCGGTTTCGATAATATTCGATTCCGTTTTCGTATCCGGGATTTTCGATCCGATTCCGAAAATAATATGAAAACAATAAAGATGGTTTCTGTCTGTTTCCGTACTGTTTTCTCCCCTACTCCTACATCCCCAAATCAAAGTAACAACATCACAAATCATAATATTCACATCACAAATTGTCAAAAAAATCACAAATTCTAAAAAAATACATCACAGATCAAATATAACACAGATCCAATAAATCACAAATTCTTAAAAAAAAGAAAAAAAAAGAAAAAAAAGTAAGAAATCTAGCCGCCGTCCGCCGCCTCCTACTGCGGGCTCCCGCCGCTGCCTCGGCTGCCGCTTCTACCGTCGCCTCCCCAGGCCGGTGGCCGCCACCGCCCCCGTCCGGTTGCCGCCGACCGCGCCCCGCTGCCGGCCTCGCTGGCCGCTGCTCGCTGGCCCCGCCACCGTGCGTAGGTCGCCGCCGCGCCCCGCTCGCTCCTCGCCGGCGCCGTTTATTCCTAGAGAAAGAGAGGATAAGACTGTGATAGAGAGGAGGAGGAATAGGAATATAAGGAGAGGATAAGAGTGTGAGAGAGAGGGGGAGGAATAGGAGATAAATTTTTTTGAAGATTAGTGCAAGAGATTTTTTATTTTTAAGTCCCGGTTAGTAACACCGACCGGGATTAAAGATCTACATAAACTTTAGTCCCGGTTGGAAACAACAATCGGGACTAAAGTTATGATCTTTACTCCTTAAAGATCTCTGGGGACCTGACAGCCTCTGACACGAGGTGAACTGGAACTATCTTTAGTCCCGGTTGGTGTTATCAATCGGGAGTAAAGATCACATAGTCCTCTTGCACTTATAAACGGGACTAAAAATGCTTTTGGACAATCGACCAAAGATGGTTTCTCCAGTAGTGCTATTAGGATATAAATTTTATTTAGATTTTCGTTAACGCATTTTTAAATTGCTAAACGATATATTTTGTATGGGAACTTTCTATAAAGTGATTTAAAATATCATATAAATTTATTTTTATAGTTTAAAATAATTAAAACTCAATTAATTATGTGCTAATTATTTTTTAGTTTTACGTATCCGTATTTAATCTTCAATGAACTCAAACAGTCAAACGGGACCTTAAATAGTGAGTGTAAACATGTTAAGATTAGGCATGTCAAAACCTATACCGAATAGGTAAATGGACATGAATAATCATGCTCGCTTTGCCTCTTTGCCCGCCAAAACTAACCGGCATGTGAGGTATACTAGACACTACTGTTTTTGTATGTACTACAGTTAGTGTCTAATTAGTATGTTACACAATGATAATGTCGTTTTTATATTAAAACCATGTTTGTTTTACCTAAAGATGCATTGTATTTGCTGGTTAATTCCTAAGTAGTTTTATTAAGAGTAAACCGTACTTTGGACAAGGTTTCTTACATAAGTTGCATAATGGATTGGATCTTATCGTGTGCTTTCACTTTGGGTCAGGTTTCCTTTTTTTTTTCCTCATTGGACCAGGTTCATCTTTTGGTTGCCACCAGCCCACCAAGCTGGAGGACTACAATTGTGTCTCTTTCCGACAACCCAAGACATATGTACTTTTCTATGGTTTTGCCCATGAACATATCCGTGAAACATGTAGCACCCGTGGATAATGGGTATGAGCCAAATGATTATGGATATGTTTAGATCCACTGATAAAATTTTTCACCCTGTCATATCATATGTTTCGATATATGTATGGTGTATTAAATATAAACGAAAAAAAATAACTAATTACACACATTACGTGTAAATTACGAGACAAATCTTTTAAATCTAATTGTTCCATGATTTGACAATGTGGTGCTACAGTAAACATTTGCTAATGACGGATTAATTAGGCTTAATAAATTCGTCTCGCAGTTTATAGGCGGATTCTCTAATTTGTTTTTGTTATTAGACTATATTTAATACTTTAAATGTGTGTCCGTATATCCCATGTGACACGGTAAAAATTTTCACCACTAAAACTAAACGCAGCCTATATTTATTTTTCTATCGTTTTTCCCATGACCATATCCGTAGGACATATAGCACCGTGGATAATGGGTATGAGCAAATGTTTATAACCGTTCTACATAGTAGGTGGTATATCCGTGGACATAAATTTGGCTGTGTTTAGTTTCTTTTAAAGTTGAAAGTTTAGGTTAAAATTGGTACAATGTGACTGAAAAGTTATATATGTATGACAGATTGATGTGATAAAAAAAGTTAGAAGTTTGAATTAGATCTAAACACAGCCTTTATCTCGTTGGTACAATGTAGTACTACAATGGTACACTGCATGTTTCTTTCAAAAAAGACAGTACAGAGGGAGAAATTCGAGACGGTTTGGGTGTTTGACTATTTGGGCTGGTCCATCGCTCCGTCCGGCAAGGTGGCCCTGAACGGTGGGCCCATCATGTGTCAGCCCACTGGCATCGACGGCCTGCCAGTGCCGGCCTGCCGGGCTGTTCGCTCCCGGCGCGTCGAAATTCCTTGCGTGACGTGTCCCCCCCTTCCGGTTTTCTTCAATCTGTGGTCACGCCCTCTGGAAGCCGAGAGCCCGAGAAGGCGGAGACCCCGGGAGCAGAGGGGAGAGCAGCGCAGCCGCCATGGACCGCGTGCAGCTCGTGCTCCTCGGCCTCCCCATCCTCCTCTTCTGCTCCGACCTCGTCACGCTCTTCGGGCCGGAGCAGCTGCCCACCCCGCAGCCCGACCTGCCGCCCCACCCCAGCCCCGACGCGGCCTCCGACGCCGTCCAGCCCGACGACATCGCCGCCGATGCCGCCGCTTCCGCGCAGATTGCTGTAAGTCCGAGCTTCGCTGCTCGATCCAGTGCCAATTTTGATCTTCGATCTAGTTTGAACTAGACGAGTCATGTGCTTTTCCCTCTCTGTTGACTCTTGTGTTGTAGGAGCCGCAGGTGGATGGGCCTGCCTCCGGCACCACCGTCGAGTTGAAGTTCTGCGCCTCCTGCTCTTATAGGTAAAACCATGTACTACTCATGGCTTCTGTCATCTGTGGAGTTGTTAGCTGGTTTGGTAGAATCGATAGTGTCGAATAATGGCCAGTGAATCACAGATCAAACCCGACAGGTTTCGTCAGATTTCCTTGTAGCCCTAGATCGCAGGGGTTCAGAACTATGTATCAATAGTTAAGACCGCGTTGACCATACTGATATCTAGAGTACAAGTTTCTATTGTACGGCCGGCCTATAGCTTTTCTGTTACTGTAAGGCCCCAAAATGAGATCCATTCTGAATTTAGATTTGAGTTCAGTGTGCAACACACGAGCACCTAACTTATCTGAGCTGATACCATGAGCTCAAACTCCAAGTGTCATCATGATGGGAATGGCTGGTTGACTGTAATTATAACACCTAAGTAACCTGTGCAGAAGCCAGAAATAGGTGGAGTCATACCTTGTTCTAGTACCGTACTTCCTAATACTGGTCGTCTTCTAGTTCTTTTAAGACCATAATAAGGACTGATGGTAGTTGTCTTCTAACATTTTCATATATGATCTGCTTCCTGTGAAGCATCGCTGAAACTTCTTACTGTTTGCCAATGGTATTGCACAATGGGAAAAAAAAGCACACACATTTTATTTTTCAAAATAATATCGTATTCTTCTGTTTTCATCTTCTTAATTCAAAGATACACCAGCATTTTCTGTATTCACTAACCAACAGTCCTTTAATTTATTTTTTGACACAAGGCTTGCGCCATGAGTTGAGTTTGAGTGCCTTCATATGTTTTTGGTTATTTTTTTGAAGTGAATAGCTTGTGATGAGAAGAATACCACTTACATAGTTCCACTAACTACTTCTCTCTTTTATGCATTTCTAGTGTCTGTTGGGTAAGAATGCAGATTCTCAGTCCATTCATTTATATTCTTTTAGTTTGTGAATGAGCATGTTTTGCTCCAAACATCTTGGTTCATCCTCTCAGGAATGCTCTAACTCTTCTCTCTGACCTAGTTCACACCCACTTATGCTCGTGGGTTATTATAGAGTCTGGAATGCTATATTTCTGTGGACTTCGCTGTGTTTTTTGCTCCTTTTTTATGCCCATGGCATGCTAGGAGAGATGAACTGAGAGAAAGAAGAGTTCATGCTGAACATATCTTTGTTTGACTTTAAATGAATAAACTTGTGTTGATGTGATGACCATTTATTTCAACATGTAATGGAGCAGAACCTTCTTTCACATGCTCTAGTGAAAATGCCTTTTGTTTTCTCTTCTATGAATTGGTTTGTGAGTTAGACAGATAACTTTAAGTCGAATTCTGCAGGGGAAATGCAGTCACCGTGAAGAAGATGCTGGAAACCTCATTTCCTGGTATTCATGTCGTTTTAGAAAATTACCCTCCACCATTCCCAAAACGCGCACTCAGCAAAGCTGTACCTTTTCTTCAAGTTGGAGCAATGGCAACTTTAATGGCCGGTGATCAGATTTTCCCTAGGTTTGGAATGGTTCCACCTCCATGGTACTACTCGCTCCGTGCTAATAGATTTGGAACAATGGCAACAATCTGGCTGTTTGGCAATTTCGCCCAGTCATTTCTACAAAGTTCTGGTGCCTTTGAAGTTTACTGCAATGGACAATTGGTATGTTTGTTATGCATACATCCTTTTTTTTGCTGCAGTGGTTCAGTAGTACTTTTGCTTGTGTTATGTAATGTTAGAATCCCCCCCCCCCCCAAAAAAAAAAAACAGCCATAAGATCTTTTTTATGCAAACCAGTACAGCAACTGTTGTTTACTATGGTTATAACCCATGGTTGTTTAGTGCCAAAATTTCTAGTTATTATGGTTTGCTTCAATGGGATTTTCTTTATTTATATAATCTCTCTCGAAAGAAACTGGCATTTTGGAGCCCTCAGTCATAGCTGAACTGCAATGATGCTAGACTCTGTAGCTGAATCTTTGACTCAAAATGATCTGTTGTGTGGCACAATATCAGTTAGTGGTGAAACCTTGAAGCCAGAGTAAAGTTGCTGTAGAAGAGAGCTATATCTTGCATTTATATGTGCAAGTTGACTGTCCATTTATCTGTCTATTGGAGTTCTAATCCCAAGACCCCCTAGTTGCCATCAATTTTTTTCAGACCCTTGCATTGCTGTGTGTAGTGATACACTTGAATGATTAGATTGGGTTCATACTAAATTAGTAATAATCAGTAGACTAGCTGTTTCAAAACAAAGAGTAGCTTGCATGTTTCCTAAAACTGGTTTGCAATTGTACTTATTCCCTTTAATTAAATGAACTGTGCAATCTTTGTCCTGATCACTTAATAATGTTCACCAGGCGCTAGGTGCTAGTTGGGTGGTAGACCAGCTCCTAGCAACTAATTGGCAATTTGGTGGGCTAGGTGGCTGGCTTTTAGAACACAGTTACTAAACTTTGTTTAGTGTGTTTGAGGTGTTCTGTTTTTTTTTTTGCAAGATTAATTTCTTACGCAATCCATCTGTTAACTTTTGCTTTGTGTGTATGAAGTTCTCCTGGTTTTTCTTTTGCGAAGCTTAATTCATTATGCGCTCCATGTCTCCATTTGTACCCGATACACTAACTCAATTCAATTTCTTTCTTCAGGTTTTCTCAAAATTATCCGAACAGAGATTTCCCAGCGAGTTTGAGCTACGGGAGCTCATTGGCAACAGGTTACCAGATTCTCAATTCGGGAAAAATCTGGAAAAGGTTTGGTCATAGATGTTGATGTCAAGAGAGCCCACTTCATTTACCTGCTATTTAATTGATAGAACCGCTTGAAAGTTTACGCCTAATTGTCAATCACATGCTATTTGTCTTCTTCTTTTGTGAAGGCAGGTACTTTTCTTTTTGTTGTAAATAATGTTTTACCCTCGCAAAGAAAGTGAAGGAGTTCTGTGGCTATGTTAGTTTGTTAGAACTGTCATATTTACTCAAAGAGGATGTGAACCATAACGCCCCTTCTCGAGTATTCCTAATTAATTATCAGAAATAATTACTCTGACTTTGGATTGGAAGTGCATTTTTTCCGGATATGTTCTGTTGCCCTGGTTAAAGCGTCATTTGCTGTCGCAAACTACTAGATGATGCCCTGTGCTTTCTGCGGGATATATGATAGATATTGGAGAAATGATGAAATGATTTGGTTTGAAATATTATAAAAATGATTTGAGAATGATGATTGAGCATTGTACTCCTATATGTTTAGTTTTAAAATGAAATTAATTGAAGGTATAATTACTATGCTTGCATGTTGAACTTTGTGTGCTTAATGGGTTGATGTGATATGTTTGTATGTAGGTTTTAGGAGTGCTAATAAATACTATGCTTGCATGCTTGAGTTTTAGGTGTTTAGTGGACATTTTCTTTATAGAAAGAAGAGATTCATTTGAAACTCTATGACTGAATTGCAATGATTCAGCTATAGCTAGCTCTTTTTTTTTTTTGAAAGTACAAACAAATAAAGATTCAGACATATGGTGGTGTTATTAATCTCAATCCTATTGGAAATGATATTGATCCTGATATTTGCAACAAAAAAAAAACTGATTCTAAGATAGTCCTCGTGGCCTCTCCTCGAATTCATCAGATTCCTGATTCTAAGATGAGCCCCTTGATCGCCGGAGAGCGACCTCGGCAGCGTCGGTCAGATCCCCTCCCCGCCTGCGGGCGTAGAAAGGTATGGGTCCGTTGCCGGCGTCCGGGAGGAGTACCAGGGATCAAACTCTGGCCAGTGGCCTGCTCCTGGGCTCCTGGCGCTCCCTCTCAGCTGCAGGCGTTTCATCATTCTCAGCAACCGAGATGAGATGAGGTTATCTCATGGTCTAGTGGCACTTGCAGATGTTTACAGAAGTACCAGAGTTCAGGCCATCATATGAGTTCTCAAAAAAAAAGGGGGCCATCATATGCAGTTAAACTATTCTCTCCATTTCGTATTACATGATGTTTTGATTTTTTTAAAAAAATAATTCTTTTTAAGTTTGACCATTCGTAGGAAAACGTGCCAATATTTTTTAACACAAAACAAACATACTATAGATCTAATGTTAGACTTAATAAAATTAATTGTATTGTAGATGTTACAAAATTTTCGTATAAACTTGATTAAACTTAAAGATGTTTTACTTAGAAAAAAAAATCAAAATGTATTATAGTATGAAACGGAGGAAATTAAAGGCAAGCAGGCTGGCTGTCGTTCCCCGTGGATGATGCAGGACAGTAATCTTGGGGCTTGTTTGGTTCTTTGCTATGTACTCCCTCCGTCCAATAAAAAGACAAACTCTGGTTTCCGTGCCCAACGTTTGACCGTCCGTCTTATTTGAAAAAATTATGAAAAAAATTAAAAAGACAAGTCACGCATAAAATATTAATCATGTTTTATCATCTAACAACAATGAAAATACGAATTATAAAACAATTTCATATAAGATGGACAATTAAAGTTGGACACGGAAATTCAGGGTTTGCCTTTTTTTTAAAGGACGGAGGGAGTGTAACCTTGCCAAAAAAATTTTGGCAAAAACTGGCTAGGTTTTTGTTTAGTTTGCTACCAAAGTTGTATTTAGGTATTTAACTAAGCCAAATAATTTGGCAATGGCAATTTGACATTTTCTTTGGTTTGGCTGAGTTAGAGCAAGTTTTATGAAAGGGATAGCTGCCACCTTCAATTTTATCTTTATCATCTCTATATAAATTAAGAAGTAGTCTGTACAGTATGTTATCTCTAAACATAAATCTCAATAAATATATTTATTGAAGTTTGTATTGGGGTTGTATCTTACACGAGGGATGGCTTAATTCTTTCTTTCATCTCTTCTCTCTTCCACAACAGTAAATAAATCTACATGGTATGTAGAGATAAAGTGCTTACAAACTTATAGTATTTGCTCTTAGACCGTAAACCAAACAAACCCAAGAAGCCTGATAAAAAAAGCCAGTGCACAACTAGCAACAGCAATTCAGGTCGGTAATGGTTGCAAGTAAAGCGTTGCATTGAAGACGAAGTTGCAATGGTTGGTCTTCAAAGATGTACTATAAGTACTGTCACAGTGCGTACAAACCTTTCAGAGCTACTGCTAGTAAGTTGTGGCATTAATTAAGCCACATTTAATCATCGAACTGCAACATGTTAGTTCGCAGGAAGTGGTCAGCGACAGCTTTGTATGTGGCTTGCGTCGGATGGACAGAGTCCCAGAACATGAACTGGGCCGGCGTCGTGCAGGTCGGCATCAGATCGGTGCACAGGGGCCCCATCTCCAGCAGCCCAGTGCCGCAGCACCCCTTGCCAGTTTCGGCGAAACCTGGGTTAACAGAAGTTCCGAAAGCAACATCAAATGCTGTCAATTCTGTAAAAAACAACGCCGAAATTTTTCGATCGGTTTCGGCTTCAGATTTTCAGAAGTTAGCTCTTTACTCACCATACTTCTGGGGATGATCGACCATGTCCGTGAGAGGGGTGTAGATGTCAGCGTACACGGCTTTCGCTCCGGGCGAAGTTGACTGGAACTTGGTGAGCATTTTGCGGAGCTTGGCGTTGTACTTCTCCGCCTCCGCGTTCTGCTCCGCGATGCAGCCCTGTGGCCTCGGCGGCTGCCTCAGCGCCGCCAGCGTCATCTGCACCGGGAGGCATCCGACCGGCGGCAATCCGGCGACCAGGAGTCTCCGGGCGCCCAGGTTGTACAGGCTCTGCACATTGTTTGACCATATGGTTAAATCTTGGAAAGGTCAAATTCAGGTTTTACAGCGAGGTTGGGGGACTCGACACGTTTGAAGGTTGCAATGGTGCAGCATGCATGGGCAGATCCACTGTGTTGATGGATAGGATTCGATCTTGCTTGTTGAAACTTGAAACAGAGTGCCTAACTACCCTAACTGCAATTGCTTCTTGCCATTGTTTGCAGAGCAAGAGAGATCAAGGACTACATTTGCACCTGATCTCGTGCCAGAAATGCAAGTGCAATCAGTATCCTTACTTTCCAGGAACAAAGCACACTACGCACAAGTGCAATCACAGTTAGTTATAAACTGCGCGAGAACTTCTCACGAAAATGGCATTAGCACAAAAGTGCAATCACAGTTAGTTATAAACTGAGAACTTCTCACGAAAATGGCATTACGGTGACGTCGATATAGATACTAATTTAACTAATCTCCGAATCTCAAAGGTTTCGCATGCAACTTGCAGCATTGTAGCTGTCACTAGAAATGGACCGAGTTAACCTGAAGAAACGAATGGAATTCGCGAAGAAATTAACCTGAATGTACGATCGGAGCTTGCCGATGAGGAGGGCGTGATACTGGTCCAGCGTGTACTTGCTCGGCAGCAGGTAGTAATTCATGATCATGTCGTTCGTCCCGGCCGACACGAGGAACAGCGACTTGTTCACCACCTCACCGGCCTTGCCGGCGCCCATCCTCCCGACGAGCTCGCTAAAGTCCGCGATCTGCGAGGCCATCGTCGCGACGCCGGCGTTCGTCGCCGTCCTGTCGTCGAGTCCCGAGCCGCCGGACGCGAAGCTGACCCCCGTGGCGGCGTCGGCGTCGCTGAGGACTTCGGAGCCGGAGTGGTACGCCGGCAGGAGGCCCTTGACGCCGAGCGCCTCCACGAGGAAGTCGCTCATGATCTTGCCGTCGCAGAACCTCCCCGTCGGCGCGCCGCCGGGGAAGTCCTGGCCGTAGGGCGGGTGGTCGGCGCGCACCGCGGTGACGAGGCGGTTGTTGTTGCCCGCGTCGAGCGTGGAGTCCCCGAAGGCGAAGACGGCCGGTATGCGTCGCGCGCTCCCACCCCGTGACACGGCGGCAGCGGCCGCGTCGACGGCGACGACGACGATGCCGTGGATGGCGGCCAGGGAGAAGAGGAGGGCGGCGAGCGTTGGCTTGAGCGCCATGTGGGCAACGTACGCATGCACGTTCCAGCTAAGATGGTGTACACGCACAGTGCAGTTGGTCGCTCGTGTTTATATATGCTAGTAGCATCAACTGCTATCAGCATTGGCCGCTTGTATTTACGAGCAGCCTGTCAACTAACTCTTTGTCATTCTTGCATTGTTCATCAGCCCCAGTCAGATAATGGCACAAGAGGCGATGTGATTGGTTTTAAATGACCATGCATCCATTTAAGCATGCATAGAATTCAGGAAAAGAGATAATCTAATCAGTACCATTGAGTTTTATTTGGTTACTAGGGTTTGAAAAAAAAAAGAGATAATCCATTCCATAACATTGACAAAGGATGAATTCTACAATATACCACCGACAAAACTGAGTTTTATAATATAGCGTTGAACAACTAGTTTTCTTACTTACATACCATTGCCGCTAGTCAACGGTTAGTTTAATTCCGTTAAGAGAAAGAAAATGTCCATTTTACCTCTAGGGTACCGTGCGTACGATCATGGATTTCATTGGTCACGATCCACTAATTCTTCTCATTGATGAAAAATAGAAATCACTTGTCTTTCTATCATCCAAGATTATTTAATTAGGCATGGCATTGTGCAAAATCTCAATTTTATCCTAGGGGTAAAATTGCCATCTTTCTCCTTTAATGGTGTATGACTAACGGTTGACTAACGCTGATGGCATATAAGGAAGAAAATAAGTTGTTCCAAGGTATATTGTAAAACCGAGCTTTGTTAGTGATATATTGTAGAACCCGAGCTTTGTTGATGGCATAGAATGGATTGAATAAAAAAATGATGAAGAGCATGCCTATTTGGTTCCCTCATTTTGTAGTGTTGGATAAAACACATACTAACATACTAACTCTAGAAACAAGGTAGCAAAAGACGCATAAAGGCTCCTATATACTTTCTCCGTCCCATAAAAAATCATCTCTATATTAAAGTTCAGGATTGGAGGGAGTTGGAAGTAACCAGATGTGATCTATCCTGACTCCCTGAGTATGACAACGTTTGTTAAACTGTGATCAGGTATAAATGGGTGAAAAGCGATCTTAAAATCTTAATAGACTCATTACACCGGTAATCATCTATAAATGGGTCAACCAGCCTAGCAAAAACCCAACTACTGTATACTACAACTGTATGAAAACAGTGTTCATTAAACCGGTGATCAGCTATAAATGGGCACATGGTCTTCTTTACCGCTTCCATTATTTCCGTCAGCAAAAAAGAAAAACAATAGTTTGCCACTACTGAGGTTGCTCATAATTCTCCTTAATTCAAACATGATTAGCGCTTAATTCTCATAAAAAATTGGTAACTACTCATGCGTCATAAATTTTGTCTCATAACAAAAAACAAAAATATGACCCTTTCGGAGCTATTTTTTTCGTGTCATCATGCCCGTTTAGAATGTAAAAGTTTTCCTGGTTTTTATATACGAAATGAAATTGTTCACATGAAATTCCTCCTATGTTTCAAATAGACACTAGATTCTTTCTTAAAAATATTTTTTTTCCAAAATACCCACACTCAGAAATAGAAAATTTGAGGATTTGCCACTGTCAATCATGCGTGAGTCTTGGACTCTCTTCCCTGTCAAACACATGTGATTGACAAATCCTAAATTACGAGTGGCAAAATCCTCGTTTTATCCATCCGTTTGTCCATTACTGCGGTGGTCGAAGTCGTTAGTTGGAGGTTGGAACTTGTGGGAGTTTGGGAGCTTCAGAGTTCAGAAATCGGTATGGTCAGTCTCATCAGTGCCCATCTCCTCTCGCTACCCTCATCCGCGCCGCGCTCTCGCCCGCAATCGAGGCCGCCCCTCTCGCCGCCCGCCGCCGCCGCCGCCGCCTCCTGCTCCTTCGACCTGCCCCGGCCCCGCCGCCTCGTCGCCGACGGGAGCCGGAGGAAGGGGACGATGGCTGCGGCGATCCCGCCCGAGGCAAGCGGCCTGGCCCACGACCTCGGGTCCGCGGCCGTCACCGCAGGCGTCGCCCTCGCCCTCCTCCGCTTCTTCGAGGAGCTCGCCAAGCGCGGGGTCTTCGAGCAGGTCAGCCACCGCCGCCTCTTCGCTTCGCCCTTTCCCCCGTTGGCGCGTCACTGGAGGCTTCTAGTAGCTAAATATCTCCAACTAAGATGCATGCTCCCTTAGTAGCCATTACTATTTGAATTTCGATGCAACAGTAAGGAGGTCGCTACTGAATTACACGCTCACTGACTCATACTACTGAGATTCCCATGGGTGGGTGACGAGACAGACACGCAGATTTGGATTCGTTTCTCGTATTTTTGCCAAGGTTGCATGTACGAACAATTATATTTGTGTGATCATCTTCACGGTGCTCTGCGCTTCTCCCAAGCAGTACAACTTGTTTGTTAAAATATTCAGCGCAATTAGTCCCAGCCTCCAAGCTGTACAGGAGTCCCATACTGCTAAGTATTAATTGTGCTCATCTGAGGTGTCTGTTTAGTAGTTTTACTTTGAGATAGGATTTTTAGGTGGGGATTAGTGATAAATGGGTAAGCATTTCCATATTCTTCCGAAATAGACCCTTTCAGTACAAGTCTAGTTAGTGCCTGTTAGATTCAAGAAAGATATAATGGAAAAGGTCCATGGAGATGCATGTGAAATATGTCAATTTGATGGTCTACCGTTATGTTCTAAGAATTCCAAGTTAAGAACGAGGAGCGAGGGTTGCGAAGCAAATCCTGATATTTTTGTTCAAGATATTAAAGCATATATTTAGTGCGAGAAGTAGGCTTATGAGTCTTGTATTTCATTCCGGTCTCTGTCCCGTGCTGTTCTTTCTTTGATTCTAAATAACTTTTATTTCTCTTAATGGAAAAAATGCGCCCCTGGGTATTCCCGAATTTTATGCAGTTTTTATTCAAAAGTATAATGTTACCTTTTCTAGTTTCTGTTAACAAGATTGATCTTTCTATCCCATTTCCAACACTCGTTTAGAAAAAAAAAATCAAGCATGATATTTAAGCCATAAAACCCCTCAGTGTCTCACTCTGCACATTGCAACTCTTAAAGTTTTACTTTGCAGCGCATTCATGTGAGATAATCCACCAACTGTTGTTAAATATATTTCAGAAATAGTGAAAAATGAAGTATAAGTTCCCACCAACAAAAACTCAGATTCACAAAATCTTGGGGTAAATGCACAGCACAGCCTTCTTACCAGTAATTTCAGATGGATGTCTGATGGCTGGCATTAGCTCATTGACACCAGATGAAATTCAGCTAGGTTCTCAACATAACATAGACATATAAACTGAACCATGCAATTAGCTGACAAATTAACAGTAGTTTTTCTTATTGAGATTTGCTTCAATACGATGATGCTTTCTATTGATAAATTCCATTTGTTTGCCTGCAGAAACTCAATAGAAAACTTGTGCATATAACTATCGGTATGGTATTCTTGCTCTTTTGGCCTCTTTTCAGGTAAGAAAATCTAATTTTCTCTGGTCAACATAAATCACCATATTGGTACTCACATATTGATGCTTTATACAGCTCAGGAAGCTATGCTCCTTTCCTGGCTGCAGTAGCACCAGGGATTAATATTATAAGGATGCTTCTGCTGGGGTTAGGAGTAATGAAAAATGAAGCTATGGTAAAATCAATGAGCCGATCTGGAGACCCGAGGTTGTATACTCGCATACACCAACCTTTGGCGATTACATAATTAATAAGCTTGTTTCTGCTCATATTTGCCTTTTATTCTTTGCATTTTTCACTCTGATTTTCCTTTTTCCTATTCTATGCCTTCTTTTTGGCACAGATTTGCTTATTCTTTGTTTCTGTTGAATATCTATAGTTGCTGCTGCTGCTGCTTCAGGTCATGATCCTTTAGACTTCATTTTCTCATGAACACAGGGAACTTCTCAAGGGTCCACTGTATTATGCTACCACTATAACTTTTGCCACTTCTATATTCTGGAGAACCTCTCCAATCGCTATAGCCCTTATTTGCAACTTATGTGCTGGGGACGGTATGTGCGTATATCTCCAGTCCTTAGCTTAGCGTAAACAAGCTATGCATACTTTCCTTGCTGACATTCCCTCCCCCCCCCCCCCCCCCCCCACTACACTTTCAGGAATAGCAGACATAGTGGGGAGACGTCTTGGCCAAGAAAAGCTTCCATACAACCCCAACAAGTCATATGCAGGCAGCATAGCAATGGCACTAGCTGGTTTCATGGCTTCAATTGGGTAATTATTTGAGAGGCTTTTACTGAAGTTTTCTGTTGCATATGTGTTTTTAAGTCATTCATTCGCATATTGTTCAGGTATATGCATTACTTCCAGTCATTCGGTTTCATTGAAGAAAGCTGGTCCTTGGCTTTTGGCTTCCTTGTTGTTTCTGTAACTGCAGCACTTGTAGAGTCCCATCCCATCAGCACACATTTGGATGACAACTTGACTGTTCCTTTAACATCATTCCTAGTTGGTAGCCTTGTTTTCTGATGTTTACCTTTGAAGGAAAATTACTGGGAGATCTTCTGACATGTAAGGAATATTTCAATAAGGAACTTTGGTTCCAATGGTATGAACAAAATTGCCCACTGGTACTTTTACCAACTAGCATTATGTACTTCCTTGTGAAAAAGAAAACATTATATACTTTGTACAGATTTAGCTAGATATTTGAAGTATGTCAAAAAAACAACCTGCTTTTTATTTCTTCCATTTGCTCCCTAGGTTGATGTGCGAATAAGCATTCTAAAATGATCCCCATTGAATTACTGGCTTATCCCAAACGCTTAAGTGATGCACTGGATCTGTTCAACTAGCATCGATTTTCAGTATCCAGGACGGTAGGTTCATGTCCCTCCTTGTAAGGCTTTTTTTCTATTGCAGGTTATGAAACAGTGTAACTTTACGGTTCCCTTATTCCGATAACCTATAGAAGTTTCTCTCAAGTTGGTAAGTTGATAATTCGGCTATGCTACAGCGGAGGTAGACAAGCCTCCCAGCATTTCAGTAATCCTGGCAAGCATTGAGCATACCTAATCGATTACTCTGAACTCCTTGTTGGGATTCACCTTCATATTTGTGTTGGATCCTGCAAGCAAATCATTAACCCTAAACCATCTAGCCTATATTTATGCTTCGGCCTTCGCCACAGCATGCATTCGTGTGCACTATACAACTCGCATGATCCAAGTTGTGGTTACAAATATGACAGGATGACATGACTGTGACTTAGAATGTCCCGTTGAGATCCAATCCCCAGCTGTTACCCCATCACAGTCAACCTTACACGGTCACTTTACGATAAAAGAGATGGTTCTCCATTTCGAGGACCTTTGGAGGGGGAATATACTGAAGAGCGATCCCATGGGACCAATCTCCAGTATTCAGATGCAAACTGTACCTCCGTTGTACAGATCATTTTTCAGATAAGAAAAGCAGGATGCCATGGAAATTTATATCTGAATAGCATGGTTTTCTTAGCTACAGCGTACATGACATGATTCAGCCACATGATTAATCAAACAATTGCCTGCTTTTATTTTTGCTAGGGAAAAAAATGCCTACATTGACCTATGTATACAAGAGAGTTCTTATCAATGGTGACGGTCTCTCTTTTTTTTTTTATCTTTATTTCGTAGTGGAATTGGATTCTCGAAACTATGTCTTATGTCTTAAATATGTAGTTTTGTGATACTTTATATTAATGTGTACTCCATCCATCTCTAAAACAATAACCTTTTAGCTATGGCCACTGTCCAAGTTCATAGCTGAAAATACACTTTTTTAGAGACGAAACAGGTAGTTTCGTAATAAATTTGGTGTTAAATTTATAGTTATGTTATACACTGTCTTGAATTTATAAATTTACAATAGTTTAATCAAATGGTTTTTCTGTTTCACTTGCGATAGCTTTTTTTGGCTCCTATCTTTCATTTTTTCATCCACAGGATCTTGCATCAAGATTTGTTACACTCACACCGAAAAATTTATAGTTACATGTTTGTTTTTTTATTTGTTTATTTCATTTAATACGGGCCCTATTCATTGGTTAAAAATTCTATAATATTTGAAGCTATAAATCTGACGAAAGATTAATAGGTTAGTCCCATCATTTGAATGTACCTTTGTAAAATGTACATACTCAATACCGAAGACTAATTTTGATGCATCTAAACAACTTGGAATTGGACACAGTACCGATAAATAGATGAATTTCCCAACTAAAGCTGGCGACTTTACTGTTATGTATCTTAAATCGAAGCCCCTAACACATTCCAAAATTGGAGATTCTCAGCTGAAAGGCTATCTAGCGGGCATCCGCATGGCTGCCCCCACAAGCATACATGCTGGAGTGGACCACTCACATGTACTGTCAGCATATCCTACGTTCTCTCCTGTATCCTCCCGTGCATCGGACCTCGGTTGACAAGCAGTTCGTTTGCACAAAAAATCGCAAAGAAGTTTAAGAAATCAATGAAAGACTTAACAAGAGGTTAAGGAAGAACAAACTGTATGTATCCCTCCATAGTCTAACCATGGGCCAGAGTTGCCCTGGTTGACCCGGAAACCGGCTACGGCTCCCCACATTTCGTCCCCACCTCGCATCGGTTCAAGCGCGCGTCATCACGACTCGCGAGAGCTCGTCTCAAACCAATAATTAAACTCACAAATCGCCATCTCGGCGCGGCTATTAAACGCCCATCACAACGTAGCTAGCCGGCCACTTCGCGTTCCATCGCTCGCTCGCTCTCTCGCTTTGCTTCGAGCTGAGAATGCACCTAAGGATGGCGTCGCCGCCGCAGCCCGGGCCGTACATGCCGGACCTGCCGGCGGTGCCGGCGTGGCTGAACAAGGGCGACACCGCGTGGCAGCTGGTGGCGGCGACGTTCGTCGGCATCCAGTCGATGCCTGGGCTGGTGGTGATCTACGGCAGCATCGTGAAGAAGAAGTGGGCCGTCAACTCCGCCTTCATGGCGCTGTACGCCTACGCGTCCACGCTTATCGTGTGGGTGCTCGTCGGCTTCCGCATGGCGTTCGGCGACCGGCTGCTCCCGTTCTGGGCCAAGGCCGGGCCGGCGCTGACGCAGGACTTCCTGGTGCAACGCGCGGTGTTCCCGGCGACGGCGCACTACGGCAGCGACGGCACGCTCGAGACGCCGCGCACCGAGCCGTTCTACGCGGAGGCGGCGCTGGTGCTGTTCGAGTTCGAGTTCGCGGCCATCACGCTGGTGCTGCTCGCCGGGTCGCTCCTGGGGCGGATGAACATCAAGGCGTGGATGGCGTTCACCCCGCTCTGGCTCCTCTTCTCCTACACCGTCGGCGCGTTCAGCCTCTGGGGCGGCGGCTTCCTCTACCAGTGGGGCGTCATCGACTACTCCGGCGGATACGTCATCCACCTCTCCTCCGGCGTCGCCGGCTTCACCGCCGCCTACTGGGTAAACACACGTGCAACCGTGCATTGCATGCATCGTGTTCGACTGTTTGTTGCACTATTCACACGCCTCCATGTTACAACGTGACTCTGACAGGTGGGCCCGAGGCTGAAGAGCGACAGGGAGCGGTTCTCGCCGAACAACATCCTGCTCATGATCGCCGGCGGCGGGCTGCTGTGGTTGGGCTGGGCCGGGTTCAACGGCGGCGCGCCGTACGCCCCCAACGTCACCGCCACGGTCGCCGTGCTCAACACCAACGTCAGCGCCGCGACGAGCCTCCTCACCTGGACCTGCCTCGACGTCATCTTCTTCGGCAAGCCCTCCGTCATCGGCGCCGTGCAGGGTATGATGACGGGGCTCGTCTGCATCACGCCCGGCGCCGGTAACAAATCTTTCGTCCGATCAAAACCACAGCACACACACAGTTCATGGGTCCAAATCCTCACGTACGTTTTGCATGGACGCAGGGCTGGTGCACACGTGGTCAGCGATGCTGATGGGCATGTTCGCCGGCAGCGTCCCGTGGTTCACGATGATGATCCTGCACAAGAAATCCACCTTCCTCATGAAGGTCGACGACACCCTCGCCGTCTTCCACACCCACGCCGTCGCCGGCATCCTGGGCGGCGTCCTCACGGGCCTCCTCGCCACGCCGGAGCTCTGCGCTCTCGATTGCCCGATCCCGAACATGCGCGGCGTCTTCTACGGCAGCGGCATCGGCCAGCTCGGGAAGCAGCTCGGCGGCGCGCTGTTCGTCACCGTCTGGAACCTCATCGTCACCAGCGCCATTCTCCTCTGCATCGGCCTCTTCATCCCGCTCCGCATGTCCGACGACCAGCTCATGATCGGCGACGACGCGGCGCACGGGGAGGAGGCCTACGCTCTGTGGGGGGACGGTGAGAAGTTCGACGTGACGCGGCCGGAGACGACGAGGACGGGAGGTGCAGGCGGCGCGGGCAGGGAGGACACCATGGAGCAGAGGCTGACCAACATGGGAGCCAGGGGTGTCACCATTCAGTTGTAGAAGACGGGAAGGGTGTGCTTGCTCGTTCCAGTGATTCTGATGATGTATGGCACTGATGTATGTTACTTTCAACGTTTAGTGTTAATTCGGTGATGTAATGCTGGTGTAGTTTCTGTTATTGTTAACTGAATTAGTTCATCGAAAACATGAGAATTATCTGGTTAACAAAAAGTTTATGAGGTGAACTTACGTACTCCCTTCCTTTCAGATTACTTGCCATTCCAGCATTAAGATTTTTATTAAAATAGATTGCATGTCATAAACTTAGATTGAAGTATATCTAGATTTATAAACTTGGTTTAATATAATGTATCATATTTAAGTTCATGGTACAAATGACGTAGCTTGGGCACTGACAAAGATAAGGATTTTACATTTAGGACTATCTTTTACAATATGCTTTCAAGTCGATCCTCAAACTCAAATATTTTTCTGCATGACTTATGTAACGCCCCGTAATAATTAGATAAGAAAAGAAAAATAAAAGCAAGCAGGGAGCTAACCGTGGAATTTTTTTTATTTATACTTTTTTTATTAAAATATTTACAAAAATAATTTGTTGTTTCGAAAATTTACAAATCTAATCGCCTGCCGCCCTTTGGGAGGGCGATTTTTAAAAATCGCCCTTCCACAGGGCGGCAAGGGACCTAAATGTAAATTTTCCAGCATAACTTGTTAGCTCTATAATTTTACAATTTAAAATTATATTATATAAAGTCAGATGAAATAAAACTTTATATCAAAATTGTAGAGCTCAAGGAGATCTACAACTTTGTAGTTAATAACTTTTTCATTTAAGATGTTTTAGATATCCAAATATTCGTTACAAAATATAAAACACATTTTAAAAAATCTCAGATCTACATTTCAAACGACATTGGATGGAGATAAACTTTATATAAAGTTGTAGATCTTGATGAGATCTATAACTTTGTAGTTTATCACTTTTCCATTTAAAATCATTTGGAGTATCGAATAAGCATTATTAGTTTTTAAGCAATTAAAACCGGTGGGAAGGGTTTGATCACAAATAAAAATTTTGTATTTAGGTCCCTTGCCGCCCTTTGAGAGGGCGATTTTTAAAAATCGCCCTTCTTAAGGGCGGCAGGCAATTAGATTTGTAAATTTTCGAAACAAAAAATTATTTTTGTAAATATTTTAATAAAAAAATGTATAAATAAAAAAAATTCGCTAACCGTGCATGCAGCAACAGCTCTGCTGTTCTTGGGCCTAGCCCATGGCGACTAGCTGCAGCAGTAGTAGTACAGCGAGGGAAAAAGTACACCGAAGGTCCCTCAACTTGTTATCGAGATAAAAAACGTCCTCCAACCATAAAACCAGATATGCGGGATCCCTCAACTATACAAATCCGGTCATCCAAGGTCTCTTGGTGGTTTTCAACCTGGTTTTGTCCGACGTGGCGGCTGAGTCAGCGTGGGACCCACATGGGCCCCACATGTCAGCTGGCCACATCATCACCCTCTCTCCTCCTCTCCCTTTCTCCTCTCTCTCTCACTCTTCTCGTTTGGTGCTCTGGGTAGACCGGCGCCGCCGGCCGACAGGGTGATGCGGGAGAGGAGGTCCGGCGGCCGGCGACGTCGCGGCGGTGGCGGCGACGGCGACGACGACGCGGGAGCAGGGGAGCAAGGCGGCGGCGGCGGTGACGGCGTGGGAGCAGGGGAGCTCTCGCCGTCGTCGCCGAGGGCCCAACCACGATCTTGTAGCAGCGTCGGTGTGGCGACGAAGGGGAACCCGCCGAGGAGTGCTAGGACCACGTCGGCGCCTGGCTCGCTCAGACTGCCGGAACTCGCCCAGCGGGTCGTCGGACTGCTTCACCACCGCCACGCTGCCGTCGAGCCCCACACCGACGCCATCGTCGCCGTCACGGCAGTCTCCTGGTTTGTCCGTGGCATCGCCGTTGCTGCCGTTCTTCTCCTTCCTGTCCTCCTGTGATGGCAACGGCGATGACGACGGCGGCGAGTGCTTCTTGTCGTGGTTCTGGTGGTGGCTCTTCCGGCCCCACGACGCGACGCTCTGCTCCAGCTCGCTGAGCTCGCGCAGAAGGCCGGAGAAGCTCTCCGGCCCGTAGTCGCCGCCGTCATCGTCGAACTCCACCACGGAGCGCTCCCACAGGAAGGACGACAACGCGGACGTTATGGTAAGAGTGTCGGTCGTCGTCGACCCCGACGGGTTCATCCCAGCGCTCCTGCGCCGCGTCGCCGTTGTCGACGGCGTCCCCACCACCGGCGCCGAGACGGACACGCTCTTCGCGTCCTTGCAGCCGCAGCCGAGCGTGAACCTCACGCCGGCGTGGCGCTTCTTGGCCGAAACACCAGGACTCATCATACCCTATGATCTCGTCACTCACTAGCTAAGCTGCATGTGCAAACTGTGCGTGCGTTGCAAGCTCAAAAGAGACTTCCGGTTTCTCTCGTGGGCTCGCGCGCTGCAAGCATATAAAGCAACGGAGATGGCATCATTGCCATTTGCCATGGCAAGCGTGCACAAGTGCGTGGTCCACGTCGCCGCCGCCACCGCCGACTTCTCCTCCCACTGCCTCACCGCCGCCGCCGCGGTGAGTTCTTCCTCGTCGTTTCGCTGCTCCCTCCGCGGCCACTCCGCCGCGGTCTTCCGCCTGTAAAATTAAAGGTGTTTTTGGTTATTATTCTGTGACGAACAATTGGACATTGGAGATTATTGGTTTTGTTATTTGGAATTTATTCACGAAGTGGTTTTGGAGATGATTGGATTTACAGGTGAATCGCAGGATCGTTATTTCATGTGACCGGTCAGACCGGGCAGTGTGTGCCGGTCAGACTGGTGTGTAATGCGCGGTCAGACTGGCGCAGCCCGCGGTCTGACTGGCCGACACTGTGTCGGTTTCGGTTTCGGGTTGTTTATTTGGATATCCGAGTTTATTTCATGATTATGGCTTCTAGATGGATACTATACGTATGTAATACTATTGTTTGCTGCTAATGAGTCAAGTTGGAGATAGCTTGGTATCGGAATATGGTTTCTTTGTTTGTTTCATGTGTAGGTGACTCGATGTCTTGGGAGAGTATTTGCGGTGATGGACCGGGAGTCGGCTTGGGGATAAGACGACGTCCGTGATGGTCAGAGATCATGCGGGATACTTAGGCTAGAGTTGATGCACGTGGTTGATGGAGATTTTATATGGCATACGATGGAGGTGTTGTGTGCGTATGGGATGCGGAGTCGAATTTGGAAGGAGTCCAAATTTGGTACGATTGGTTATGTAAAGTTTCTTTCTTGTACTAGAGGGTTTCCTAAGGTGTTTAGGACTCTTAGTATGAGTTTGGTTCGTGGCTTTAGGCTGCCTACCTCATGTATAAATAGAGGGGGAGCGTGAGGCTTCCCGGTATCGCTTTAGAGAGCAATTGAGTTGAGTTTAGAGTTAGGGTTTCGAGTTTAGTCGAAATTTTTGTAAGGAGTGCTGTTGGTGCACTTTGTAAACACAGAGAGAATCAATAAAGTCGTCATCTACTTTAAGAGTTCTTCAATTTGTGTTTCACCGGGTTTCGGCGGTCTAACCGGCGATCTACCGGCGGTCAGACCGGCGGCAAGCGGCGGTCAGACCGGCGGGTGCACGGCGGTCAGACCGGAGGTGACGACAGGCGCGGCAAGCAGCTTCAGCGGTCAGACCGGTTGATCTATACCGGTCAGACCGACGACATCCGAGCGGTCAGACTGGCAAGGCAACTTCGGTCAGACCGATCTCCGTCGATTTTGAGGGTAACTTTTATTTCCGCTAAAAGTTTTCGGTTTTTGGGTATACCAACCATTCACCCCCCCTCTGGTTGGCTTAGTTCTTGTGATTCGATCCTACACCGCCGCCCGCTCCGCGCGCGACCAGGCGCACGTCACCGCCCGCCTCGCCGTCCTCGGCCACTGCCACCACGCCGCCATCGCGCGCCTCCTCGGCGTCTCCGCGTCGCCCAACGGCTCGCTCTTCCTCGCCTACGAGCTCCTCCTCGACGCGTCGCCGCTCTTCGCGCTCCACCGCAACCCGAACAACCCGTCCTTCACCCTGCTCGCGTCGTGGCAGTCTCGCCTCAAGGTTGCCGCCGACGTCACCGACGTGCTCCACTACGTCCACCTCCAGGCCGACACCGTCCACCTCCACAACCGCCTCCGGTGCGTGGCCAAGGACGCGGCAGCGCGCGCCGGAGATGTCGTGGGTCGCCGACAAGTTCCACATCCCCACCAACAACTCCATCTCCATCTCCATCGCTCCATCAATTTGGGTTTCCGCCACCTTGGGCAGAGTGAAGAGGACGGGGCGAGCACGGCGGCCTCAGCCCAAAGCGAAGAGGGCGGGGGAGACCGGAGGCCGCCGCCGCCGCCGCCGCCTTTCTCCCCTGCTCCCGCCGCCGCTGCCGCCTTGCTCCCCTGCCCAGAGAGCCACAGAGACAAGAGTGAGTGAGAGAGAGAGGAGGAAGGGAGAGAAGAGGGGGAGAGGGATGAGGCTGACGTGGCCAGCTGACATGTGGGGCCCATGTGGGTCCCATGCTGACTCAGCCGCCACGTCAGACAAAACCGGGTTGAAAACCACCTAGGGACCTCGGATGACCGGTTTTGTATAGTTGAGGGACCCCGCATATCTGGTTTTGTGGTCGGAGGACGTTTTTTATCTCGATGACAAGTTGGGGACCTTCGGTGCACTTTTTCCTACAGCGAGCAGCAGTAGCTGGCCTTGGGCCATATAGCCGCAAGCAACAGCAGCAAGCAGTGTTTAGCAGCAGCAGCAAGCTAACCGGCAAGCAAGAGGAGCCAATATTAAGGGCTTGTTCACTTTGCTACCATTTTCAACCTTATTAAGTTTTGGCATTGCTAAATTTTAGTAAGATTGTCAAAATTTTGGTAAGGTTGTCAAATTTTGGCAAGATTTCGTATGTACTAAACTAAAATTTGGCAACAAACTAAATGTAGTCACTTTTTTTTTAACTTTGCCAAAAAGTTAAGTTTAAAAATGGTAGCAAAGTGAACAAGCCTTAATATTAATACCATCTCGCCAATTTGAAAGAGAGGGAGCAGCTTAAATACTTTCTCCGTTCCAAAATATAAGTACTTTTAGACTTCGACCCGGTTTTCGAGATGCTACTTTGACCAACAATATTTACAAAATTTTAAAATGTTTAAATAAAAAATTGCATATTATGATAGTTTGTTTAATGATAAATCTAGTAACATCAAATTTACATTATTAATCTTTTTTATTTCTTTGCTATTAATACTCAGAATTTAAAAAGTTTGATTTGGTACTATTCTAAAAATGTTTATATTTTGGGACGGAGGGAGTAGGAGACTGGCTTGCCCGAAAGGCCGGAACCTTCAACACAGGGTACGAATTCTTTTTGCATGAAGCGTTGACAAAAAAGTAGTGTATCGTAGTATATGTGTGGTTCGACTGAATGAGTTGGGCCTAATACCATTTTCAGGTCTTGGGTGTCACGCTTGTCCTAAGAATTTAATTTTTTGGATGCCAAAATGCGCTTGACGTAACAATTTTTTGGATGTCGAAATGCATATTTTTTAATGGTGACGATGGAGAGGAGAGGAGGACACATGGAGATGGATGCTAGGGGAGTAGGATTAGCGGCAAAATGGCAGTGAGATGATGATGGTGTAGTTAATGGTGATGATGCGGTTGACAATGGCGGCGGGATTGGTGGCGCCTTTAGCCTTTGTCCAATCTCTAAGCGCACTTAGGGATAAGCATTCGGTCTAACCGAGAAATTCGATTCTGTTTCTCGGTCTTTTTAAAATTTCGGTCATAAAAAACTTAAGACCGATCGGTCAAAAAAAAAACTGAGGACCGAGCACTTCGGTTTTCAGTTAGTTCGGTTTGGTCTCGGTCATGACCGAATAACCCGAGCAGTCTCAAAAAAATCACAAAAGCCAAATAACAAATATAAGGTTGACAAATCAAAAGCAACTCAATAGATCAAGATGCATATGCAAATGCAGATTCAGAAAGACAAATCAAGCTCTAGCCTCTATGTTTGAATCCCGTCAATCTCCACCAGGTGCGCCGAATCCTACGGCCGCGGTGGTGAAGGACGACGCCGGCGTGGTGGAGGCGGAGGCGGCGCGATGGAGGCGGAGGGCGGGCGGAGGTGGAGGCGGCGCCGACGCGGTGGGCCGAGGAAGGACGAAGGCGGTGCCGGCGCGGACCGCGCGGTGGAGGGCGGAGGCGGAGGCGGAGGCGGCGCCGGCGCGATGCTGGAGGCTGCGCCGACGCGGTGGGCCGTGAGCGGATGGAGGTGGCACCGGCGCGGTGGAGGCAGGCGGCGGCGTGGCATGGTGCTGGAGTCTGGAGGCTGTGAGCGCGAGTGTGAGGAGTCCGGGCGTGCGGCGCCTGTGAGAAAATTGCATATCTACCATCCCATAAGAATGGCTTCGCTAGAATACTATTATGAAAACGGGCTTCGCTGGAATACCATCCTCAACCAGAGTGTCTTCGCCAAAATGCCATCCCGGACGGAAATGCCCATGGCTCTTCTTCCTCCTCCATCCCACGTGTGAAGAGCTCGCCGGCGGCCATGGCTAGCTCCCTCCCTGCCATCCCCGCCGCACGGGCGGCGGGCGCGGGCTCTGGCGGAGGGCTACGCGGTGGCGGCAGGCGCGGGCGTGGGCTCCGGCGGATCGGAGGGCTGCGCGGTGGCGGCTGACGCGGTCGACGGCGGCGGCCGCGGGCTCCGGTGGAGGGCGGCGTGGTGGCGGCTGGCGTGGTCGACGGCGGCGGCCGCGGGCTCCGGCGGAGGGCGGCGCGGTGGCGGCAGGCTCGGTCGATTGCGGCTGGCTACGCGGTGGCAACGAGGAGGCGGTGGCGGCCAGGAGCTGCGCCACCGGCCCCACGCGCACGCGCGCTGGCGGGATCCGCACGTCGTTGCCGGAGTCCTTCCGCGACGACCTCATCTGCACAGGCGCTGGCGGGGATGGCAGGGAGGGCAGCGCCCCAATCGCCATCGGCAAGGCGGCATCGGCACGGCGGTGGAGATGGCCATGGCCGCCGGCGAGCTCTTCACGCGCGGGATGGAGGAAGAAGAAGAGCCAGGGGCATTTCCGTCCGGGATGGCATTTTAGCGAAGACACTCTGATTGAGGATGGTATTCCAGCGAAGCCCGTTTTCATAATGGTATTCTAGCGAAGCCATTCTTATGGGATGGTAGATATGCAATTTTCTCGGCGCCTGTGTGGAGCCGAGTGGGAGACGGGAGTAGGGTTGGACGGTTGGTGATCTAGGGTTTTTTTAGTACCGGGCCTCCTAGCCTCCTAGGCCTATTGGGCCAGTTCGGTTATTTCGGGTATTTCAGTTAACCGAGCCCAATAACCGAAATGCCCGAAATAAATTCGGTCTTTTGATGTTAGGGACCGAACAGCTACCCGGATTTTTGGGTCTCGGTCTTTTCGGTTCGGTCTAATTTTGCCCACCCCTAAGCGCACTCATCGCCGACGCCCACGCTAACGACCTCCTACAGCCACCATCCTCGCCCGTGCCATAATACTGTTGCGCAAGACAGCCACAATGCATCCTCCATGGTGTTGAGCTCCTACTCAGCCGTGTACAGATCCACTCCCAAGGCACCAAATCAAGAGACATGAGCACTAGAGTCGTCTCACGACCAAAATGCCAATAGATCCAGCTACCACTTACAACAAGAGCCAGTTAGCGCCACCGTCAGGACCCCAACATGGCTTGCTACCATGATCAGGGAAGACTATGGGGAGGAGACTCCATCGCCGTTATCTTTGGCTGGCATGCCCTTTGGGTGGCGTGCTCCTGTGGTTGTGAGGTGGAGGGTGGGGAGGGGGAGAAACTGGATACGGGTGTGACAGCAATAGTCCACCTAGATAGTCCGGATTATAACACCATGTTCCGATCATCTTTCGAGTCTGGCTGTCTCTAAATCCGATGAATTGGGTGTAGTCGCACGTTACCATTTGATTTACATAAGTGGTATTGGGAAAAGCCACATAAGCAATTTCCTTTTCTTGGATCACTCTTTTTGTGTAGCCTTCGGTGAAAGTAAAAAAAAAAAGTGGCCCTTAGATGAAAGTTAAGGTTACCGCAAGGCTATGAGATGCTTATACTGTTATAACTCTTTTGGAACAGAATTTTCGAAGGACTTTTCCACGAATTAAATTAGTTCGTGTAAAAATCCGTTAAAAATTATGCGTTCCTAAGGGTCAAGACTAAAAACAACGCATTAGGCATGTACTAGTAGATGATTTCTGCAAACTCAACAGCCAATTGCAATGGGAAAAAATATTAATAAGCTTTCAATGCATCAATTGGTGGCGCGGGTGCACTGTTCAATGCCGCCTCTGCTCCTCATGACTGGGAGAAAGTCTTTATAACCGTGGGAAGGCCGGAAACATGCATGTACACACGACAAGATTTGCACTTCTCGTTTTTAATACAGAAATGATGACGCCATAGGCTTCCAAATTATCAAACACAAATGATGTACGCAAACCAGCCCCCAACATACCAACGCGAGAAACAACATGCTATCAACAACGGCGTCGTCGACAAAATGCGGAGGAAAATCAGGTGGAGAAAAACAAATAGAAGAAAAAACGCACACGGAACGCTCAAATACTATAGGCCACTTGTGCCTCGGCTCACGTTGACCTGCCTTAGGCCACCGTTCTCACCGGCTGGCAGGCTCGCGCGCCATTGGTTCATGCCGATCACGTACTATCTCATCTTCCCACTCAAATTCCACGTCCACCAACCGCCGCTTCGCCCTTCGCTGCTGCCGCTGGGCTCCAAACTATTTTTAAGCGCGTCCCGCGTCGCCAGTGAGCCGCGTCGCGTTGCACGGATTATTGCAATCGATCCAAACAATCACGTCGGTCGACGAGAAGAAGTGAGTGATGGCGTCGCCGACCCGGCCGGGGCCGTACATGCCGCGCCCACCGGCGGTGCCGGAGTGGCTGAACACCGGGGACAACGGGTGGCAGCTCGCGGCGGCGACGTTCGTCGGGCTCCAGTCGATGCCTGGGCTGGTGGTGCTGTACGGCAGCATCGTGAAGAAGAAGTGGGCCGTCAACTCGGCCTTCATGGCGCTGTACGCGTACGCGTCCACGCTCATCGTGTGGGTGCTGGTCGGCTTCCGCATGGCGTTCGGCGACCGGCTGCTCCCGTTCTGGGGGAAGGCCGGCGCGGCGCTGACGGAGGGGTTCCTCGTGGCGCGCGCGTCGGTCCCGGCCACGGCGCACTACGGGAAGGACGGCGCCCTGGAGTCGCCGCGCACCGAGCCGTTCTACCCGGAGGCGTCCATGGTGCTGTTCCAGTTCGAGCTCGCCGCCATCACGCTGGTGCTGCTCGCCGGGTCGCTCCTCGGGAGGATGAACATCAAGGCGTGGATGGCGTTCACTCCGCTCTGGCTCCTCTTCTCCTACACCGTCTGCGCCTTCAGCCTCTGGGGCGGCGGCTTCCTCTACCAGTGGGGCGTCATCGACTACTCCGGCGGATACGTCATCCACCTCTCCTCCGGCATCGCCGGCTTCACCGCCGCCTACTGGGTAAGATAAGCTCTCGCTTCCTCTACCATTTGCAACGTACGGTCGGTTGGTTAATTCTGGTCATTGCCTGGTCGGATTTTCTTCACAACTTTTGGTTGTTCGGTTTGTCACGACCCGCCGGGGTTTACTTTTCCGGTGCGCGCTCACGGGTCAGGACTTACACGAGTACTTGCACCCGTACATTAGCAGTACATGTGACGTGTGGACTTTGTGGTGAAACGTTCGGGGCACGCGGTCGCGGGAGCACGGAGTCGTCAGCGCCCGGGGTAGACTAGTCACTTGCGTGTATTGATCGAGTGAGACGTGTTTTGGACATGGACGATGGTGAACTAGTACTATGGAAAGAAACGATTCGATGTAGCTTAGGCTCGAGCCTAATTTCCTCGTACCTGCAAAAGTACATATATAGACGAGTTGCTAGAAAGAAAAAAAAAAAAAACAGTGCTGGCTCAGCTTGCAGAATCCAGATTCTAGAACAGTACGTGGCACGAATCTCGACGGCGTTAAGTGTTAACCACGTGACGGCGATTAATAAATACTTTTTTTGTGACAGGTGGGGCCGAGGCTGAAGAGCGACAGGGAGCGGTTCTCGCCGAACAACATCCTCCTCATGATCGCCGGCGGCGGGCTGCTGTGGCTGGGCTGGGCCGGGTTCAACGGCGGCGCGCCGTACGCCCCAAACATCACCGCGTCCATCGCCGTGCTCAACACCAACGTCAGCGCCGCGGCGAGCCTCCTCACCTGGACCTGCCTCGACGTCATCTTCTTCGGCAAGCCCTCCGTCATCGGCGCCGTGCAGGGCATGATGACCGGTCTCGTCTGCATCACCCCCGGCGCAGGTATCAGCTGCTTCCTGCTAGCTTTGATCAATTCTAGAATCCAACTAGATTAGCAATTTAGTACTACTACACTGTGATTAGCCAGTTGCCATTCACATAGTTTCATTAATGAGGTCGTTGAATTGGCCATTCGTTAATTAATTCAGTTGGATTAACGAACTAGTTGTGTGATGGCATGCAGGTCTGGTGCACACGTGGGCGGCCATACTGATGGGCATCTGTGGCGGCAGCTTGCCGTGGTTCTCCATGATGATCCTCCACAAGAGATCGGCGCTGCTCCAGAAGGTGGACGACACCCTCGCCGTCTTCCACACCCACGCCGTCGCGGGCCTCCTCGGCGGCTTCCTCACGGGCCTGTTCGCCTTGCCGGACCTCACCGCCGTCCACACCCACATCCCTGGCGCGCGCGGCGCGTTCTACGGCGGCGGCATCGCCCAGGTGGGGAAGCAGATCGCCGGCGCGCTCTTCGTCGTCGTGTGGAACGTCGTGGCCACCACCGTCATCCTGCTCGGCGTCGGCCTCGTCGTCCCGCTCCGCATGCCCGACGAGCAGCTCAAGATCGGCGACGACGCGGCGCACGGGGAGGAGGCCTACGCGCTATGGGGAGACGGCGAGAGGTTCGACGTGACGCGCCATGAGGGGGCGAGGGGCGGCGCGTGGGGCGCCGCGGTCGTGGACGAGGCGATGGATCACCGGCTGGCCGGAATGGGAGCGAGAGGAGTCACGATTCAGCTGTAGTGGTGGTAGAGTGGGCATTTTGTCGCAGGCTTTGCCGCACTGCAGCTAAACTGGACGTTGACCATACGATAATTCTCATCTCGTACAGGTAGATCTTGCAACTAGCAAGATGGAGTAGCAGATATTACTAAACACATATGCTTCATTATTTTATTTCTGGAGTAAATCAAGATTCGTTTTGGGGTAGTGGTAGATATTTGCAATCTGATGCAGTCAGTATGCAATGTGTCCTACCCTGGGAGTCCCAATAGATAAACAAACTTTTGCCAGCATTGCACACAAGCAAACCTCACGGTACCATGGTTTCAGTGGAATCTACTGTAAATTGGTTTTGCTTAGTTAGCTTGGACAGGTCTGAGAATATCTCAAAACTGTAGAGTACGCGACCGCACGTGGACGCCTGATCTGAGTCTGAAGAACTGCAGAAGCAAGCCTGAAGACAGGCCAGTGCAAACTGAAATATGACAGCCTAACAGATCACCGAAGCAATTCATCACTTGCATCATTCGATAACATTGCACAGGCAGTGTTAGCAATAGGCGTCAAACTTCTTGCATATACACAACAATCGTGTGCCTGTGAAAGGAATTTAGATACCTGATCTCACAAGTTAACGATACAATGAGAAAACGCAATCCGAGGCTAGTCGAATTGCTCCCAGTCGGTGTTTATTTGTGTGGAAGAAACCCGTGGTGGGGGTGCATTCAAGCTGCCCATGCCATTGTCGAACGTCTCCCACTGCGTTGTCACTGAAACAGATTTGTTTTGATCGCTGAAGGGATTGGCATTTCTTGCCTTCAGCTTATCCAACGTCTCCACAAGACCTTGGACACGGCGTACCTGCAATGCAAGTCATCGTTATTGTGAGGGTATGTACAGCATACAATGCCTCCAGTGACTATTACTTTATGACAACAAAAAGATTTTGCAACAGGGACCAAACCCGTGGTCAGATGGTCATAGCAGCAACAATTATTCAGATATATTACCGTCAAGCAACCAAACCAACTCCATAAAATTCAAAAGGGCAAAATAAGGATTCTTTAAACTGAAGAAACAAATGAATTTTGACTTTATTAATATGTTACAATACATATAAGATGTTCTACCGATTAAGCTTGGCTCAACAATGTTTTTGAAGCACCCTGCGCATGCTGACCATTTCACTGGTCTTGTTCTTCAATATAATAGGGCAACAAAAAAGTGAGGAAGCTACAAATAGCATTTCACTCTTGACCAACAAAGGTCCTAATCTGGCAAAATTCTCTCGAAACCAACACTAATAAATGGTTATAAACCTCAGGTCTATCCCATATCAGACCAGGCATTTATTAAGTATAAGCTCCAGCAGGTTTTGCATTAGAAGCTGGATTCAAACCACACAGCCAAGTTAAAATAGTTTTGTGCTATACTGGTTACAAGCCTAAGGCTAAATGGACCGTCTTAATGTGGAACTGCTCAAGCCACACAACTAGTTCATTACCCATAACCAAGAAAATAATCATTGGAGTACGGGGGAAGGTCAAAGTCAAACAAAGAAACTAGAATTAGTCCTGGAAGGAGTTGGGAGACACCCTTGTGATGCAAATGAAGACTATAATTGATTCAGCATAGCAGAAAATAGCTAAATGGCAAGCTTTCTTTACTAGATGTGCCGTATGTATTGTCTTTTCATGGCTTTTAAGCCATGGTCCTATAAAGGGCATTAATAAGATTTATCATTACAGGGTAGCAATGCTACACTACATGGTAAGGAACAAAAAAATTCCATCATCAGCATAGATGTATGTTGATTCATCAGGAAAATTCCATCATCAGCATAGGTGTGTGTGGTTAAATTTTAGTAAATAAAAGGAAATCAGGTTTGAGTAATAGTATGTGATAGCTATTTATCAACAGAAAATAAACCATTTTGAAAGCTTAGGATGACCAATATTTCAGCACCAGTACTAGTAATTGAATTTGTATTATATGAGATAAGCCATGACCAATCATGTTGAGATGTATAATGGCCACTGTACCTCAGCCTTCCTTTGTGCCCTTGCTTCTCCCTCTGCCTCTATGCCATCAAGTTTCAGCAGCTCCATCATAAGAAGCTCCGTCAAGACAACAAAATCTTTATCCTCAATCTTTCTCCCTGCAAACACACTCTTCTCCAAATCACATACCTGGTAATAGAACAAAAACAAAAACCGTATCAGCATCAAGATATAAGAAGAGTTAATGTTTAATGGAAGAGGCTGGAGAAACATTATTCCTTCACCTTGGCAGAGAGTCTGTCAACTTCAGCTCTTACACGGCCAACAGCCTCACAAGCCTTCATCATGCTCTCATCCATAATTACTGGCTCGGCCCTCTGCTCTACATTGGCAGGGGCAGGCTTCTCAAGTAGAAGAAGTTTTGCTCCATCCTTGACCCCAGCTGTATGCAGGAACTCATTGTCACTCTTCTCCTTCCCACGGAAGAAGAGCCTCTGCCTTTCAGGCTCTACGCCAGTTGCCTGGGTAAGGACCCCCTTCAATTCACCTTCATACAAAAGAGTGAACAATTAATCCTAACTACATATCAAAGCAATGGAAACCAGTTCCTTCTAAGGAAGCAGATCATGATGTACTGCTTCTGCGAACTACTCCAAAAATTCGATAAGAGAAGGCTTCTTTCAAACGTTGAACTATATAACATTGAGCTTCCATCTGTACAGAAAATGATAAAATAGTGTAAATTTAGTAAATCACACAACCTCAGTTGAGCCAGTATGTGCACCTATTTAACGTCATGAATGAACAGGAGTGTACTAATACAATACAACGGTACAACAGTTTTAACGTCATGAATGAACAGAAGTGTACAAATACAGCGGTACAACAGTAATTCAGTGTGGGCCTAATGGTGGACGGATATAGCATGACGCACAGACATGTCGTCAAATATACACTTAAAAACTAGTATATTTTTGTCGCCATATACCTAGGTACATCTGCTTGCCACAGTCCAAGAGGATATTATAGTTAAAAGAGCAGGACCATAATCCATCTGCCTGCCCCCTGCCACACAAGCACATAGTATTGCAATGCTTTTGTTCTGAATCTAGATTTGCATCCAATTCGATTCACGGAAAAGGAGACAAGGACGATGTGATCTTATTAACTCCTCGACGAATCGCCGGGTTGACTGGTCAAGATCCGTAGCTCAAGTGCAACATAGCAGATCGAGCATGGTGGTCGCTGCTGTAACTAACCGGGAGCGGCAATTCGTCGTGCACTTTCCGGGCAAGCGTTTGAGCTTGCCTACATCAAAAATACTAATCGAAACATAACCGATCACAAGGCACCCTCGTTGCAATCGCCCACGGCGAGTTTCACGAGGAGGGAGGAGGCGAGGATCATACCGAAGGTGGAGTGCGCCGGCACGGCGACGTCGCGGAAGGAGGCGCCGTGGGAGACCCTGAGCCTGACGGCCGGACCCGTGTCGCCGTCCCTGCGCTGCACCAGCATCCCGCCAGGCCGGACCTCCCACTCGCCCTCCGCGTCCCTCCCGCCCGATCTGCCTCCTCCAACGCCGCTCATCATCGCCGACCCCAGCCGCCTTTATGGCGCCCCTCTCCTCCCCCCACACGACCCCACCGATTCGGTCGCGGCGAAAGCGACGCGCGGCCGGAGGGAGGAAGGGATGGAGGGAAGATGAGGAGAAAAGGAGGATTTGGTGGCGCGTGGCTTTTGCGAAGGGTGGAAGGCTCCCTCCCCGCGGGGTTCCTTCCCCTCCGGAGAAGCAAGAACAGCCGCGCGGCAGTGGCGGTAGAGCTTGCTCGCGAGCGGCAGCGGCAGCGAGATTTTGCGAGAGCTGTTTTTTTTTTTTCGCCAAGTACAACTTTGGATTCTCGCGAGGCCGCAGGGGGAAACAAAGGAGGCTCGCTGGCGTGGAGGCCTCGTCTCGCGTCGCGTGCTGCCTCCGCTGCGGATAGGACGGGAGAGTTCGCGGTGGGGTCGGTCGACGCCTCGCGGGGCGCGTGGTTTTTGGGCCCTCGTGACACGTTTGGTTCGTGAGAATGTGAGATCGCTCGCGGGACGGCTCGGTGCGGTGCGCCGCGTGCGCCTACTGGTATCGCCGAGTCGAACTCTCCACAGCCTCCTCGGACTAGCGGTGCAGATAAGTCCACGATTCGGTTGCAGATTTTCTTTTTTCAATTAACTCCCATCTGAAACCTGAATTTCCACTTGTACGTACAGGATAAAATCTCAGCTTTGTTCATAGCTGCCGTTCACCTGATGATTAAAAAAAATGTGGTACTAACGAGGAGCTGTCGTGATGTTTGGTGTGCCTAATCCTTGTCTTCGATGGCCAAGGGTAAACGTCGTAATTAAGGCCCACAAAGGCACAAACCGTGATTACGCAATGATAGCAGACTTTATGGTACGGCTAACATGATGGTATGGTTGCGCCGACACTAGATGGTAAAGTACTGCAATTAGCGGTAGTAAGTAGTGTAGTACCACTACAGAAGTACAGTACTAACATTGTTAGGATTTTGCAGTTGAGATGTGGGCCCTGTGAGCTAAATTATGAGGCCCACAAGACAGTGTAATGTCCTCGCTGGGAAATGGAAGCGAAGCCGGAAGCGTGGCAAGGCCCCAAGGCCGGTGGCAGGTCGGTGATAGACTAATTAAATTAATTAGTACTTGACAACCATCCTTTTTTTTAACTTACGGAGGACTGCTAGACAGCCATCTGATGCATATGCTCCGAGGAAAACCAATGCATGCATGTATATACAGCTAGCTAGCCCACATTTACGTTCTCAGAAAGTAATTAATTCCAATATTCTAAAATATACATAGCCCTTTAAATTTTAGCAGCATAGCTGATGAGGACATCCCACACTATTACCCGCTGGCAGAGACGCTAAAGTCGAGCGGCGACCGTGTGAGCCTCTGAATAATCCCACATTGCTTAGCTTGGGAGGAGGAAGCCACCTTAAAAGGGAGAGCCACCCTTCCCCTATTGGACTAGTCTTTTAGGAAGATTGGGCATTTCCCCGAGTGGGTGTGCCTATGAACTGTTGGGGTCCGGGTAACCTTAAGTTATTGGGCCTCGGCCAACCCCACCTGGGGGCGGAAGGGACTAAAAGGCTGGGCGGGACTAAAAATATCTTTAGTTAATATTCTTACCAAGATAACTGGAAGCCCCAACCGCTAAGAATCCTAGTGAACCTAGAAAAAGAATACAGGCCCAGAAAAAATTACCTCTTTTTCGAGAACCTTTCAGAAGTTCTAAAAGATTTTGACTTTACTTTTTTTGATTCTGAATATTCTTACCAAGATAACTGGAAGCCCCAACCGCTAAGAATCCTAGTGAACCTAGAAAAAGAAAGCTAAGAATCCTAGTGAACCTAGAAAAAGAATACAGGCCCAAAAAAAATTACCTCTTTTTCGAGAACCTTTTAGAAGTTCTAAATGATTTTGACTTTACTTTTTTTTATTCTGAAATCGCCTTCGCCAACTAGATACTCCTGTAAAATAGTTGGTTAGATACATTAACTTTCTATTCAAAAAGCGGAAGGGAGGGGGGCGGGAAGGGACTAAAAACATCTTTAAGGGAGGGGGCGGAAGGGACCAAAAACATCTTTAGTCCCGCTTTGAAATCTAAATTCGGGCGGCTGGGCGGAAGGGAGGGGGCGGGAAGGGACTAAAAACATCTTTAGTTCCGCTGGGCAGAAGGGAGGGGGGCTTTGAAAGCTAAAGTCGGGCGGGAAGGGACTAAAAACATCTTTAGTCCCGCTGGGCGGAAGGGAGGGGGCGGGAAGGGACTAAAAACATCTTTAGTCCCGCTTTGAAAGCTAAAGTCGGGCGGAAGGGAGGGGGGGCGGGAAGGGACTAAAAACATCTTTAGTCCCGCTTTGAAAGCTAAAGTCTATTAAGGAAGGGACTAAAAACATCTTTAGTCCCGCTTTGAAAGCTAAAGTCGGACGGAAGGGAGCTAAAGTCTATTAAGGAAGGGATTAAAAACATCTTTAGTCCCGCTTTGAAAAAGTCTATTAAGGAAGGGACTAAAAACATCTTTAGTCCCGCTTTGAAAGCTAAAGTCGGGCGGAAGGGAGAGGGGCGGGAAGGGACTAAATAGTCCCGCTTTGAAAGCTAAAGTCGGGCGGAAAGGAGGGGGGGTGGGAAGCGTCTTGCTTAGCTTGGAAGGAGGGCGGAAGGAAGGGAGGGGGGTGGGAAGCGTCTTGCTTAGCTTAGTCTTGCTTAGCTTTGAAGGAGGGCAGAAGGGAGGGGGGTGGGAAGCATCTTGCTTAGCTTGGAAGGAAGAAGGGGGATTAAGGAAGGGACTAAAGACATCTTTAGTCCCATTTTGAAAGCTAAAGTCGGGCGGAAGGGAGGGGGGGTGGAAAGCGTCTTGTTTAGCTTGGAAGGAGGAAGCCACCTTAAAAAGGAGAGCCACCCTTCCCCTATTGGACTAGTCTTTTAGGGAGATTGGGCCTTTCCCCGAGTGGGTGTGCCTATGAACTGTTGGGGTCCGAGCAACCTTAAGTTATTACTTATTGGGCCTCGACCAACCCCACCTGGGCCCTTGTTTAAGGGGGTGGGAATGATGAGGACATCCTCCACTATGGGCCTCAGCCAACCCCACCTGGGCCCTTATTTAAAGGGGTGGGAATGATGAGGACATCCTACACTATTACCCACTGTAAGGGCATCCTCCAATATTAAGGAAGGGACTAAAAACATCTTTAGTCCCGCTTTGAAAGCTAAAGTCGGGCGGAAGGGAGGGGGGTGGGAAGCTTTGAAAGCTAAAGTCGGACGGAAGGAAGGGGGGTGGGAAGCGTCTTGCTTAGCTTGGAAGGAGGAAGGGGGGTGGGAATGATGAGGACATCCTACACTATTAAGGAAGGACTATTAAGGAAGGGACTAAAAAACATCTTTAGTCCCGCTTTGAAAGCTAAAGTTGGGCGGAAGGGAGGGGGAGGAAGGGGGGGTGGGAATGATGAGGACATCCTCCACTATTAAGGAAGGACTATTAAGCGCTTTGAAAGCTAAAGTCGGGCGGAAGGGAGGGGGAGGAAGGGGGGTGAGAATGATGAGGACATCCTCCACTATTAAGGAAGGACTATTAAAGAAGGGACTAAAAACAATTTTAGTTCCGCTTTGAAAGCTAAAGTCGGGCGGAAGGGAGGGGACTATTAAGGAAGGGACTAAAAACATCTTTAGTCCCGCTTTGAAAGCTAAAGTCGGGCGGAAGAGAGGGAGGTGGGAAGCGTCTTGCTTAGCTTAAAAGGAGGAAGGGGGTGGGAATGATGAGGACATCCTCCACTATTAAGGAAGGGAGGGGGTGGGAATGATGAGGACATCCTCCACTATTAAGGAAGGGACTAAAAACATCTTTAGTCCCGGTTTGAAAGCTCTATCAACCGGGAAAAAAATTGGCATAAGCGGGGTGGTTGCACGCGGATCGGATCAATACAATCTCCTCCTCTCCTTTTTTAACTCATCTCCTCACAGAGTCACCCTTATCTCTTCCTCTCCCTCCTCCCTTCCTCTCCTCCTCTCCCCCCTCCCTCCTACCCACCTCCCCACCTCCCTCTGCAACGAAGGGACGCGGAGGGCCGGGCGAGGCAGCGTGGCGCCGCGCTGGCGGCTGGCGGCCTCGCGGCGGCGGCCGAGGACGCGGCAGGTGGCGCGCGGCGGCTGCCGGCCGGCGTGGTGGCGCGGCGCACGGAGGGCCGGGCGAGGCGGCGCGGCGGCGTGCTGGCGCGCTGGTGGCGGAGCCGGGGACGTGGTGGGCGGTGCGGCGGCGGCCGGCGTGTAGGATCGAGATGTCGACTAGAGGGGGGTGAATAGGCGATTTAAAGAATAAATAACACCTAATCAAATCTAACCTAAGTTGCTAGTCCACCGCTCAACCACAAAGCCACCGCACGCCCCCTTCGTCAAGGGGTGGGCAAGGCGGGAGCCGGCCCACGGAGAGGACTACCCAAGCCTCGATCACTCGGGGTAGTTCTTCCTTCACTCCGAAGGTGGTGAACTCCAAACCACTCACAAACCGGCGCCGGGCCTCCTCCACAATCTTCTCAGAGAGGTCACCAGGCAACTCCTCCACAAGCCGTCTAGGAGGCGGCAACCTCCAGGAGTAACAAGCAATGACCCGGTGTTGAGATGATCAAGTGCCACACTAGCTCTACAATAGAAGCAAATGCACTTGACTCTTGGCTAAACAACCCTCTAACACACTAGATGGATGAACACAAAGCTCAAGTGAGTGTGAGAAAGGTGCAAGGAGTGTATGCAATTGAATTGGGTGCCAAGAGAGCCCCCTTGCTGCTGGTGGGGAAGTATTTATACTCCCACCCACCAAAACTAGCCGTTGGGGGCGAAATCCCCCAACTCTGTGCTCTGCCGGTCTGACCGGAGGTATGTGGCCGGTCAGACCGTGCTACTCTGCAACGGCTAGAAAACTAGCTGTTGTAGCCCTGTCAGAGGGCCCCATCTGCCTGGCCGGTCAGACCGGCATGGGGTGGCCGGTCAGACCGGCCTCGGCTCGGTCTGACCAAATATGGCTCCGTCGGCTCTGTATCGGCCATCCCGAGCAGCACCATCCCGGCCTCCAGGGGGCCGGTCTGACCGCGCAAATGCCGCCGGTCAGACCGGCCTTATGCTCCGGTCAGACCGCCTTCTTGCGGCCGGTCAGACCGGCCAGGGCACGCCGGTCAGACCGCCACTATGTGGCCGGTCTGACCGCCCCTGGTCAGGCCGAACCCAGTGAATTTGCAAGTGAATGTATGTGTGATGAAAAAGAGAGCACAAATGAAAATGCAATGACCTAATGTGGCAATTGTAATCATCTCTTTGCTAGGTCATTACCCCTCTTAATAGTACGGCGAAACTAAAAATAAACTAGCAAATTTGATCGCCTTACACCTCGATCAATTCTAAATTAAAGC